CGTGGGTGTGTGTGTGGGGCGTGCGTGTGTTTGTGTGTCGGATGCAGGCGAGGAGGGAGGGAAGGGATGAGAGGGCTCCCGAGCCGTCAGTGATCGCATCTCTCAGGACAGCGCGTCCTTGGTCGGGGCACCAGTTAGCATCCCGGGAGATAACACCCATTGCCCGTGGGGATGAAGGGGAAGAATTGAAGGATATTCCCTGGGGCTAAATCCTGCTCCTCTACTCAGGCGGTGAATACCCTCGGAGCCAGTGAGTTGACTAGCGAGAGTAAAGCCGGCAAAAGACGCTCTAACTCTGGAGTGCCGGGGCTGGGGTTAGGCAGGGCGTGTGCGAGCTGCCAAGCCCGCAGAAATTCCCCATTCAGCTCTGTGCTGGGGACGGCCAGCAACTGCTGTCAGCTCTCCGGCTGAGAGGTCCACATTAAATACGAGCACAAGCAGGAGCAAGTGCTCCCAGATTCTCGTTTTTAAGGACTTTAAAAGTTATTTTTAATGGCTCCTGAAGTTTCTTCACTTTCATTCTTCCACCACTTCTTTTTTTTTTTTTCTTTTGTTAGGCAGGCACCATATGTAAATACAATTTGTAGTAAGCAGAATGTAAAAGCAATCTTGCCATGTATTTTGGATTTTTTTATGATATATGGTGGACTGTTCAGAAATGTATGCTATTGTTAAAGCTGTTTGTGCCCAGTGTACTAATGTACTGTTTGATTGAGTGAATTAGCAGTCATAACAATCTGGCAGTCTGGCCATAGAAGTGTGCTCAAATTGATTTGTGTTATGGCTGGACTGGAAAATCTAGTGTTAGTTGTTTTTTTGCCCTGGGGCATTGTTTGTACCAAACTCCACTTTTCATTTAATTTTCCAATAGATTTTTGAAAGACCAAAAGGTTTGTGATCAACGTTTGCTGCACTTTATTATTATTCGGCTATTAAAAATATCCTATGAGTAATTTCAGGTTCCCCAAAACCTTGCTTTCAATTAGAGTAAACATAATTAGCGTGACATCGTGCTTGGAATGGCAAATCTCCTTTTGTATCTATTAAGCATGTTATCTACTTGTCCTGTCACTGAAAGGAATCCAGTTTGTATTTGTACTGGACAAGGTTTTGTGCTACTTTGACTATAACACAACAATTAGAAAAACAGCACTGCAGTATCCAGTTTCTTACTACTGATACAACATTACACATCAATCTCAATTGTATTCATGGTGTTTGTCAATGTTTAATAAATGTCTTGGTGGAAGAGAAGCAAAAAGGGATCTCTTTTCACACACTTCTGTTTCTATGAGTCTATTTTCCTGAGCGATGCAGGGGGGATTCTGTATGAGGTCCCTCCCTCTTTCTCAGTCTTCCCTCTAAATAGCAGATAGCTCTTCAAAGGGGGATTGTTGCTTGAGACCTGAGATTAAAGCAAAGCAGAACTTACCTTCTCTTTGCCAGTACTTGCTCCTTTCTTAGAATCTCTGCTTGACAGTTGTTTGCCAGAATTATAATGCAGCATGATAAAACCTAAAACATTACTCTATTGATCACACAGAAAGCTTTGTGAAATCATCTAGTTTCTCCTCTGCAGAAACACTGAACAAAATAGGTCACTAAAAAAGGGTAAGACAAGACACAAGACAGAGAGATATTTCTCAGGAAAATAAATTCCAAAGAAATGCAGGAAAAAAAATATTGTGGATGAACTTAACATGATAATACACTATTCATCCTTACCAGGTACCTATTTTCTATATGCATCCCCTCCCCCGGTCCATTCCTTCACACACATTCAGAAGATAAATACTTTTCTGGGGTGTTTAACTGAATGAATTTAAATATTTAATTATCAATAATAACGAAGATGGGGGAGGGAGCTGGTGTACTATCCCATCTCCTGTCAGTCAAGTATTCAAATTCCTTAAAATGCAACAGCTACAATGCATTTGGTAATTGCATTTTACCCTTTACAGCTGCCCTCAAAATTGTAATTTAATAAAATAGTGAACTCCATTTCAGTCTTTTTTTCAGAGCAATAAATTACAATCACTGTCAATACATCTTACTGTTTTAACATACCTTTTAATACACCGAAATAGCAAAAAGAAAAGAAAAGAGAGAAAGAGAGAGAATACCTGCCCTGAACAGCTACATGAGCAGAACAGAAACCCTGCTTCAAACAATATTCCAGGAAAGAAATTAAAGACTTCTTAATTAGTGCAGCAATTAAGCTTTCTTGGTCGCATTTTAATCAGCCCAGGCCCTATCAAAGGACAAACAGAACGATTTGCAGGTCTTTGAATTTTAAACAGTCTTATTGATTTCAGCACCATAAGTCTTCACTTGACACAGGGAGAATTTTCAAATATCAGTTACAGTAATTTGAGTTTTGCTGATATCAACTCAGAGAGAGAAAAAGAAAGCACCCAACAATATCATTACATGAAAGGGTCAGCAAGTAAGAGAAATGCAATCTAGAGAATTTTACAAAGGATGACCTCTGGATTTGTTGGTTTATATGAGTGTGTCAGTATAGGCGTGAGTTAAATTAAATTGTGACACTCCCCATAATAATTAGAAACACTTACCGTGCCAGAAGCTTTGAGGAATCCTGAACCTTTTCAAAAATCTTTCTTTCTAGGTTTTTAATCCCAGTGTTGCATTGATATCATCAAGGTAAACCCAAAGCCCTGGAAGTAAACCCTTTGAGAATTATGTATCTGTGGGAGCACACAGCAAATAGAAAAACAGAAGAGCTGGTGTGTATCATGTTGTTGGAAAAGTAGAGAACAAATGAAGTGGTAGGTTTCAGAGTTCACCCAGATCTCCAAGTGGCAATATCATGCGTGTCTGGCTCTGTCCTGATCTTCTCATGGAGCTGTTCTGTCTTCACAAAGTTTGCGAGAAGGTGATATGCAAAAGGAACAGGTGAGGGAAAGAAAATATTGACAGAGTTGCCTTTCTACAAGTGAAAAAAAGAAAGAGGCAGTGTATTTATATTTTGAAATTACAAGTTTTATGCAGCACTAGATCCCACCACTGGGATCCCACCACTGGAACTCAAGTTGTATAAGCTCTTCCAGATAAACATTCTCAAAAAACTCCATCTAAAAATGGCTCAAATAGTGTTTTGGGCAATTACGGGTACACAAGACTAAAGTAAAACATTACTCTGTGTTTTCATGGTTTTATTTGCAATTTTAAAGATTTTAGTGCAGGATAGCTTAAATTTCACTAGCAAAATGTGTCTAAAGTGTCACTAGAACACAAATTCCCGTAAACAAAACTTAAAGTATAACAAGCAAGCAGATCATATGAGAATAGTTTATGTCTGATACTGTGGAATTTTCCCTAAACCGAATTACTACAGTTGAGATTATCCACTCTACAGATGTGTCATCCCGTGAGTCACGTCTCATGTAATGGTATCGTAGGAAAAAAAAAATTTAAAAAAGGCTCTGGGCACATACATGCATCGCAATTAAGTACACGCAGGGTGTATTTATTGAACAGGAAAAACTACTCACACACCGACCCCTGATTTTGCAGAACCCCCATCTATACCAGTGGCCACTTCTTTACCCCTTTCAAAGTGCGAAGTGCCCTCAAAACACGCAGAACACAGCCCCGGGCTTTCCCGACGGAGCCCGGCGCGCCAGCTGCCAAACGCGCTCCAGCCGCATCCCGGCTCGGGGCCGGCAGGTACCGCGCCTGCCGCCGCCGCACCGCGCATGCGCGGGCAAGCGCGCCGGCTGACTTTGCGCGCTGTCTGGCGCGGAGGGGCCGGGCCGGGCTGCGCGGCTGCTGCGCGCCGCCGACACCTGTTGCGCGGCGGGACCCGCGCGGGCCGCCCGCCCGCCCCTCTCCCGAGTTACTTCTGTGCCGCCGCAGCCCGCTCGCCGCGGCGTCTCGGCGGCCTGACCCGTAGTGCCTCTACCCCTCCGATCCGCGGCCGCTGCAGGAAAGTCCTCCGCGGATGCTGCCGCGTGGGGCTGCCCGTGCGCGCCCCGCGAAGCCGCCGCCGCCGCCTGCCGCGCAACAAAGGGGACCCTCGGCAGCGACTCCCACCCCGCCGGGAGGAGCGTTTGTGGTCCCGGGAGAGCAACAACAGCGGCAAGAGCAACGGCACCGTCCGGAGGTTTCTGCTTTTGTCTGCCCCGGCAAGGTGTGCGCTGTGCCCAGCGCCCGCCCCGCGCCCCGGCTCCCCCGCGCCCGCCCGACTTTGGGGGAACGCTGGAGACGCTCGTGTTTCTCCACAAACTGTGTTGACAAGCGACTGTTGAAAAGGGCTGGGAAAATTACATCTCATCTCTGGTGGGGTGAAATATGAAACATGTAATCTAACGGTTCCTGAAGGAGGGGGGAGAGGGACTCCTCTCCCTCTCTCGCTGTTTTCCTGCTCCGGGTTCCTGGTTGGATAATTTGGGTTAATACTAGTGAGTGAGCCTTTTGCTGCTTCAAAGGGTATTTCAAGTTGCCGGAGCTCCTCCCCTCCGCACCGTGTGACAACAACAACTCGTCCAGCGAGCGAGCGGCGGCGGCGGCGGCAGCAGCAGCCAGCACTTCCCCGCTCATTTTCTCTCTGTCATTCCCCTCTCAATCTTTGATCAATGTACTTGCCAGAGAGAACCGAAGTCCTTCAAACCTCCTCCTTTTCACCTTCGTCTTTAACGTGGTGCTAGAGCAAGGACCACAAAAAGAAACTGCCCTCCCCCTCCCCTCGGCCCCAGCCCCGCCGCCCGGAGCGGACTTCTCCTCCTCCTCCTCCTCCTCCGTCCCCACTTGCGGGACACTTTGTGCGTTCTCTCTCTCACTCTGCCCCCTGCTCTCTCGCTCGCCGCAGCACCTGATCTGGGGTTATCCCCCCCTTCTTCTCCCCCCTCCTCCCTTCTGTCCTTTCCTCTTTTTTTTTTTTTTTTTTAATAATTTTTTTTAATTTTTTCCCCTTTCCCCTGCGTGTGTGTGTGGGAACTTTCCCCCCTCCCCCTGCCCCCTCCGCCGTATATGTGACCATGGCCGTACCGGCTGCTTTGATCCCTCCGACCCAGCTGGTCCCCCCTCAGCCTCCGGTCTCAACTTCTGCCGCCTGCACCACCACCACCACCACCTCGTCGTCGGCCACCTCGTCGTCGGCCACCTCCTCTCCGTCTCCGTCCATCGCTCCCCCGCCGGCCGCTTCGGGGACAAACCTATTCCGGCCGGAGCCCATCGCAGCGGCGGCGGCGGCGGCGGCCACAGTCACCTCCACCACCAGCGGCGGCGGCGGTAACGGCAGCGGCGGCGGCAGCGGCGGCGGCAGCCCCAGCCTGGGCACCGGCGGCGGCGGCAGCAGCAGCGGCGGCGGCGGCAGCGGCGGCACCTCCACTCCCAATGCCAGCGCGGCCAGCGCGGCCGGCAGCCTGCCCGGCAAGCCCGTGTACTCGACCCCGTCCCCGGTGGAGAACACCCCCCAGAATAACGAGTGCAAGATGGTGGATCTGAGGGGGGCCAAAGTGGCCTCCTTCACCGTGGAGGGCTGCGAGCTCATCTGCCTGCCCCAGGCTTTCGACCTCTTCCTGAAGCACTTGGTGGGGGGCTTGCACACGGTCTACACCAAGCTGAAGCGGCTCGAGATCACGCCCGTGGTCTGCAACGTGGAGCAGGTCCGCATCCTGAGGGGGCTGGGGGCCATCCAGCCCGGGGTCAACCGCTGCAAACTCATCTCCAGGAAGGATTTCGAGACCCTCTACAACGACTGCACCAACGCCAGGTAAGCGCCGCAAGGCACGCGCGCGCCCCGCCGGCCCCCCCCGCCGCCGCCGCCGCCCCCGTCCCACCCCCGCGCGGTGCGGTCCGGGCGAGCGCTGCGCCGCTTCCCGCTGCCCCCTCCCGCGCTGCCCCGGCTCCCAGCCGGCCTGCTTCTTGGTGCGACGGAGGGACAGAGGGGGGAAGGGGAGTTTGTGCCCCCCTCCCGCTGCGCCCCGCAAGTGTCGCCCTGTCATTGTCCCCTTCCCTGCCCCCCCCGCGCCGAGGCGTGCCGGGGGTAGTGGTGGCCGCGGGCAGCGCAGCGCGGGAGCGGAGGGCCGGCGAGGGTGGGAAGGGGCCAAAAAGTGCTTTATGACCGAGCCTCCTGCTGAAGTTTATCCTTGGATGTATCTTTAAAGCGGGCAACCCTGGGAAAAAGCCACCCGAAGGGTGCACGGGAGTGGGCGGGGAGCGGCCCCGATGGGGAGACGGAGACATAGACACTGGGGTGTCGCGGCAACTGGGATGGGGCGCGGAGCTGCCCGGGTGTCGGGCCCGTTTCGGGGCGATGGAGGCCGCTTGGCCATCAGCTGCTGTCACACATCCGAGGGGGCACGTGCACTTTTTGTGTAGGGCTGTAAGGCAGTTGCCACATGGCGAACGGGGGAGGTGAGGGGAGGGCGGGAAGACGGCGAGGAGGAGGAGGAGGAGGAGGTGGCGGCGGCTTTGCTTTGGGGTAGTGGGGAGAGGTGCCAGGCGTCCGGGCTGGGCTGCATCCTCGGTGGAGGGGGGTGGGGGTGTCGGTCCCCGAGGAGCAGGTGCGAGCAGCTCCAGGCCCCCGGCAGCCGAGGAGGAGGAGGAGACGGGGGGCAGCGGGAGCGCGGCAGGGATTTGGCAAGGCTGGATCCTGCTGCCGCGCAGAGTAACGCGGGCGCGGTGGCGGGGACGGCGCCGAGGGCGGGGAGCAGCGCTGCGGCTGCGGACGGTGCGGGGTGTCCCCGCACCCCGCCGGCCGGGGAGACCGCGGGGGGGAGGTGAGCCCCAAACTTGCCACAGCCGGGGAGGAGTGTCGGGGGGATAGAAGGAGCTGGCAAAAGAGGAAATTCCTGATGCAATAGCAGCCGCCTTTGCAACGGAGGGCGAAAGCATGGGGTTGTTATCTCTCAATCTGTAGGTTACAGGGCTGAATCTGCTCGATAAGGAGAAGGGATCGCATAACTGCCGTGACCCCGAGATCAGAGCGGTCGGAAGCGCCTCCAGTTCCCGGGGGCTCTCCCCCTGCCTCGGGCGGGGGCGGGGGGCTCGGGCTCTGCCGCGCTGGAGGGGCGGCGGGAACTTCCCACGGAGGAGGTCGTGGACAAAGTCCCGATGCTACTTTCAATATACCCAAACAAACAGACCGGGCTCGTTTCACTTTCCTATTGTCAGATTTCAAGGTGCAGCAACAACCAACACGTGGGGAATTAACCCCACGCGATGCCGTGCTCCTGCCTGTCCCGTCCCGTCCCCAGTGGCGGGGGGTGTGACATCCCCTCCTCCTTCCCTTTATCCCCCCCGATTCAGCACAGGGTGCCTGGCAGTCATTAGCATAGAGCCAGGCGAAGCAGAGCACTTATTCTGCGGTAGCAGTTGCTGGATGGATTGTTGAAGTTCCTGAATATTCAGGGCAGCAGGACAAAACAGCCTGGAATAACTTCCAAGCGCTGACATAACTGTAGCTGCTCGGGTAACTCTGCTGTTGTTTCATGTGGAATCAACATGAATATTAATAGCTGCTCTTAGACAATTGTTGGGTTGGGGTTTTTTTTCTGTGTGTGTGTGTGTGTCTGTGTGGTGTGTAACTTGCAACAACGCTGCAAGAGTTCCAAGATTTGGTCCTTAAAATAAACTCATAGAAGTTTTACTTTGCCACAGTCATAACCGTGTGAATTTTAATTTGAACATAAAGAATTAAGAAAAACAGAAACTTTATTTTTTTGGGGGGGGGGGGGAGGGGTACGGTTGGGGGCGTATGGAGACACCAATTCTTGGACTTGGCAGGGTTATAAAAGGGTTTGGCAGCCTGGTAGTAACATGGCTTGATTATGTCAACAGTGCAGAATCGGCTGTGTTTCAGCTGTTCCTGAGGTCTGCTGTGTTATCATACAGTGAAGTAGAAATTACAGTAGTGGGTTCAGAAGTGAGTAGGATTTGACCCTTAAAAAGCGTAATTGTGGTAGACTTACTTATACATCCATTAAGCAAATAAATTAATGGAAAGGATATACAATAGGTATGCAAAATATATTATTACAGTATAGATGAGTAAAGCAAAGTGGGTCAGTGAGTTTTGGTCCAAATGGATGATATAATGGGAAGATAAATCGGTATTTGATTTCTGAATTTCCCCTCTAATACATTTAATTCTTCTTTCTTTACAAATTATTTTTAATTATTTCTGACATTACAGTAATTATGCGGGGTATTTTTGTCTACTCAGTTTAGTGATTTAAGCGACCTTTCCTGACTCCCAGTTGCTGCATACTTTAGCTGGGTGATGTCTTTTTGTATTCCGAGTGGACACTTGCCTGTTGAGATGGAAACTGGAGGAGTCAACTCCATCCTAGCGGCTAAATTGTTATACTCATCAGATTCAAAAATTTCAAACCAGCATCTTATCACTGTTATATTTGTTTCATAATCAGCTGATGCACTCGAGTACACTAATCCCCTTTTGGAAAGCTTCATCAAGGTTAATATGTTATTTAATCAAAAAAGGCACCCAAATAAAGCCACTACTTTGTTGTTCTTTAAATGGATTGAATCGTTAGTTGCCAGTTGCTGTGGAAATAATTTGTAGTAACTTATTTTGAGACGGAAAAGTTTTAGGTGTGTTTCACCAAAATGATGCATTTTAACTGTGATATTGCTATTTAAAAAAATCAATAAAACAAAAATCAATAAAACACCAAGGGATTTTCTATTGAGTGCTTAATGTGGAGGTCTGTAAAGTGAATTGGTTTCTGTGTTTATTTGTGATACTACTAATAATAACATGATACTAAAGGACCTTTTTCTAAATTAGGCTTGTGTATCAGTTCACTGGAAAAATAAGCTTCCGTTATGGAAGATGACTTTTCTTTTCTGGTCATACTGACCTTTGCTTTTATTTTCCTCATAAAAAGCATTGGCTGCCAAACAGAAATCCAGGAAATAGCAAACTGTGCATTTAGCTTACATTCCGATTAAACGGTTTGACATTAATGGGATGCTAGAAAGCCATATGCCAAACAAATAGGGGAAGGATAAAGGCAAAACATGGAAAATATTTAGAGCTACTAGATGCCAGTCGAGTCAGGTTTCTTGAATGTGTGGGTGAAAGAGAGTAGCGAACTGTGCACTGGATGTCACCTGCCTAGGATTAATGACCTGGAAGCTATTGATCCCAGATTGTTTCTGGTCTCTTGTGTTTTGAGCACTTGTTGTGGAATTTTGCCATGCTGGGTTCCTTTCTGGAGTTTTCCCATAGACTTAGGCTGACTTTGGATTGTGCCCACCCGAGTAAAGGCTAAAAGCGTGCGCTTTCTTCTGACCTCCCTTCTGTGACTAGGATATGTTAATCTTTCCTGACATTTGAAGATGATTTTGAATGAGTTAATTGACATTCACACTTAAAACGGGGAATTATTTGCATCTCGTGGAAGCTATTTACAATTTTTGGAAGACAATCTAACTGATTTTTGAATATAAAGGGGAAAGATGCTGAACATGAAACAATTCTCCTCAAAGCCCATTTTACACGGCAGTTATTCAGTCCCTCTTTTCTAGCTTCTGCTTCTCTCAAATTCTGTGGACCTAGCATGTCCTTGTTTACTGAATACTGCATGCTTGCATGGCTTTTCTTTTTTCTCCCGTTTGTATTAATTAAAGGAGTATCTCACCCAGATAGGTTAGTGCAGATCATAGATACTTTAAATGGACAGGTCAGCAAGTGCAGCTGGAAGGAATGTCAAATATATAGTACCTGTGGTTTATATTGATGACCTTCCTTCTTGCCACAGATTATTAAAATACAATCAGCAGAAATGTGGAAGGCTTTACAAGCAAAGATGACTTCTGGAAGGCCAGAAGATAAATTGTAATAACTATAAAGAAGGATTGAAAGGTTTGGAAGTGGTTTCCTTAGACTTAAACAAAATAAAAGACTCCACTTGCTTATAAGAACAATACTTTAATATCTATCTTACATTATATATTTAATGGTAAATATTGTAGTCTAAAAGCTGAGATCCTTTGCCCATACTTACTGCAACAGAACAGAGCTATTTATCCCTTTAATCTGATACTTAGCTGCTGGCAGCAGCAGGGTATCTGATACTTTGGAAGGGAACACTTCTCTGTGAACGCTGGCTGCCTGTCGAGGCAGTTCCCGTGCAGGGAGGTGAGGGCCTGCTAGTGATGGGTAGGGGGACATTTTTTTCCCTGATTGCTTCACATGTTTTTTTTTTTTTTAAGGATTCAATTTGATTTACTCCTCTTTATCTTATAGCTATGAATATTGGTAAAGTTTTCTGTGGTTTTGTTTTTGTTTTGTTTTTTTTAGATTAAGAAATCTTTTCTTGACAGATGAAGTTTATGTAAAAAAGCAGTTTTATTGTCAGATTTGTATCAATTTACAAGAAAGGGTTATATGGATAGCTTTGTTATTTCATCTCTGTTGAAATGTTTGGTTCAGTCTCAGGCTTCCACACTCTTTCTAGAACCACAGGCCCCTGCCTGGGGTTGTTGAGCCCCCTGGGCACATGCAGCAAGTGCCCCACAGTGTGTCCCTAGGGGCTGTGCTGGGGGGCTGCTGCATCCACCCAGGGCTTCTTCTCTGCCCCCCTTCAGCACCACAAACCAAAACGCACTCTTCCTTCCAATTTGTCCTGCTTGATATTCTGTAATCTGGAGTGGGTTCCGAATATTTGTTCCGAAATGCTAGTCTTGTTTGACTGCCATTTAGTATTTCTTCTGTTTTCCCCTGCTCCTAGATCACTCCAGATG